CAGCAGAAAATTTATTTCCCAGCGTTATTAATAATTTTCACTATTAATTTTTTCCTTTCAATTTTTAGTTTCGTTAATTTTAGTTCCGCAATTAGAGCCGCTTTTCTGTTTTTAAATTTTCTTCGATGATAAAAATGTATAAAGGGAAATATATTAAGAGAAGTTAACTATACAATGAATTTACAGATACAGGTTTTAAAAATATCTCGAAAGATATACACCGTATCAAAAAAGAAGATTATTGTCACGTTCAATATTTTTAAAGCTGTCCATTGATACGAAGCTCCATTTTTCCCCCCTGCCCCTGATGGTGGCAAGGGGGGAGGGAATTTGAGATCTTAAGTAGGAATATTTTTATTGCAGATTCGCATTCTTCAGAAAAGGTAACCCTTTTTGAATAGTAGAATTATGCATTTTGCTTCACAGTTGGCGATGTAAACAAAATAAATTAGACGGATACAAGCTTATAAATGCAAGGAACATATGGTAAGCATTCAGCTTACTACCACTTTAAATATAAAAACAAAGTCTTGCGCAAAAAGCTTAAAAGTTGGTTGGTATGGATCTCTAAAAACACTTCCACGATTTGTTAATATTTTGCTACTTTTCCCTTCTGAAATATTCAAGTACATTTGAAATAAAAAAGAATATTCGTCAAAAATCTTCCAGAACTGAAAGCTTACATGTACCAATGGAGAGAAAAAAAACTGGCAAGAAAATCCCTTCACTCTTACACGTTTCCGGGAAAAGTAAAATATAAAAAACTACCAGGATTTTTAATAATTCCAACATACGTTTACAGAACAGTTATTTACGACACAAAAAAGTAAATAATGACTTCATTACCACTATAAACAGAACAACTTATTCCTCTTATATGCAACTAAACGGTTTTACCGTCTGATTTTATAATACTTTTCCGTCTCATTTTCAGTACCTAGCCTCAACAAGATTACAAATCACATCCCTTTAATTAATTTGCGAGGCACATAATTTAAACAATTATGCTCTCCAAGAAACATCAAGCTCGACATAGAGAAAACATCTGCGTTTTTTTCTTCTTTATTTATTAAATGTCTTCATAATATTATGGTGGTATATTTCAAAAACAGCAACTTACACTACGTTGCTAATAACTGATTGATTAAGCTCGAAGCTAGTCTATTTGTTAGAAGAAAAAATTAGGGTATTTTCACATCACTTTTTCGCTCTTTTTATCATAACACATTGCAAACCTGTCGCGTAAAAATACGTTTTAAAAATTTGTGCAATCCATAAAGAAGTTAAAAAAGTATGAGCAGAACTACTTCGTTTCTGCTCTTTTTTTCAAGGAAATTATCCATTCCTGATTACCACAAACATAACTGATTCAGTATAGATGCAATCAGTACTACATTCTTAATTTTCTTTTCTAAATAGAAGTTGTAGGTATAGAGATAGGTTTGCTTCAGCTGTTCTGAAATCATGCCTGCCAAGTTTTGTTTTAAATTTTAGTCTCTACCAGTTGAAAGACATTATTCATTTGAAAAGTAATTGTAGTTAAATGTTTAACAAGACAAGACTTTTGAAAAGTTGGTCACTTGTAATGTCCTAAAGAAGACCTGAAGGAGCTGGAAGATAGTCTATTTGTTCGGAATGAAAAAATGAATTATGATAAACTCGCATTGCCTTTTCGATTTTTCTTTTTATCTTAAAAGCCTTAAAAATTCAATTAAATTAAGTTAATCAAAAAAAAATTAAACCTGTAGGCATATCCTCAACAGTTAAGATTCCTTAGAAATATTTTTAAACTGATATTTATAAAATAAGCGAAATTTTTTTTAAAACTTTTACGCAGACAAGTGAATGTCTTTGAAAAAAGGAACTGTGCTAAATATATGACGCTGGGCGTTAGCCGGTTAAACACATAAAAATTAAGAATCATATTTGTTATCTCTCTCTTCTTTCTTGAAACAATTCCAAATTTGTTAGTATTAAATTTGTGGAAGTAATTTCTCTTAAGTTTCGCATAACTTAGTATACACTGGCCACGAAAACATGAAGAACTACGCAGGTACCCCACCTGTCGTTAACCTTTATTTCCCATTTTATTGAAATTCTTTCGACTTCTAAAAGTGGTAGATTCAAAATATTTATTTCAAAAATTTGTCTTACTTTGAAGCAGAAGGGTTTAAAGTGTATATTACGAGGGCGAGGCTGAACAACGCCTTCTATAACTGAGAGCCTCCGCGTGGTTTCTAATAGGTAGTCCATTCAGACCACTATGAAAGTAAACCAGTTTACGAAAGAGCCCTTTAATAGAAAATCTTGTAAAAATAAGAATAGGATAAGGTTCTAAACTTTTAATCTATTCATTCCCGTCCACATATATGGTAAAATTGGTTATATGGATATTTTTATACTAAGAAGTCATACCTTTCTGTTGCCTAAGACTTTGTATACATTGGATCTAAATATAAGTATCTGCATTGCTAATATAATTATGTAAGCAAATCTACCTTGTTCCCGAATGATGTCCATTAACCCCTTGGGAACAGGTGATTCAGAAAAGCATTCGTACAAAGTCAGAATCAGGAAGTAATTAAATAAAAAACGGTAACTTAAATATAGTCGTTTCTGATTTGACAGACTTACTTTGCTTTTACTTTAATTATTGTTAGTTTAATCATATATATAATCAATGTTAATTCAAAGTATAACTAAATAGTTTTATTTTGAACAAAGTAATGGTGAATTAAATAAATCAAACAATTATAACTCCGCCCACAAATAAACTGCTAAAGAAATACTTTGATTACCAGTTTTATCTTTTTACCCTGATTGATACGGTTTTATGCTGGCACGTATTTGTGACAGTCGGCGCGAAAGGGTTAAACAAAGTAATGGTGAATTAAATAAATCAAGCAATTATAACTTCACCCACAAATAAACCGCTAAAGAAATACTTTGATAAGCAGTTTTATCTTTTTACCTTGATTGATACGGTTTTATGCTGGCACGTATATGTCACAGTCGGCGTGAAAGGGTTAAACAAATATATATTAGGAAACACATTTGCTATCGCTCTTTTCTTTTCTAAAAAGTTACGACACATTCCAGATGTGTTAGATTTAAATTGGTGGAAGTAATATGCTCTAAAGTTTCGCATAACATTTGGTGTTACGCTCCCCACGAACATAATATGCAAGAAAACCATCCTTCGTAAACCTTTATTTCCCATTTTATTGAAATTCTTTCAACTTAAAAAAGGGGTAGATTCAAAATAATTATTTCAAAAATTTGTCTTACTTTGAAGCAGAAGGGTTTAAAGTGTATATTCCGGGGGCGAGACTGAACAACGCCTTCTCTAACTGAAAGCCTCCACGTGGTTTCTAATAGGTAGTCCAATCAGACCACTATGAAAGTAAACCAGTTTACGAAAGAGCCATTTAATAGAAAATATTGTAAAAATAGGAATAGGATAAGGTTCTAAACTTTTAATCTATTCATTCCCGTCCACATATATGGTAAAATTGGTTAGATGAATTTGTTTATACTAAAAAGTCATACCTTTCTGTAGCCTAAGACTTGATCTTAAAAAACATTGCATACATTGGATCTAAATATAAGTATTTATATTGCTAATATAATTATGTAAGCAAATCTACCTTGTTCCCGAATGATGTTCATAGGTGCCAACTCTTCTGGTTTTTCCGGAAGATTTTAATTTTGTATTTAAAGTGGTACCGAAACTCACGTCATGCCAATAAAATTTTTGAATAATAATAATAATTATAAATGAGTTTGACCACCACTACATATAAATAGTTACAGCAAATACGTAAAAGCATACTAATCTTTACGACAGCGAATTTTAACCTAGTCAAAATATAAATATATAATTGAGTAAGATTGTTTTACGGTAATTGTTTTACTTCCACTTGGAAAATTCATTTTCAGAAAGAGTGAAATTTGGCAGGTATGGATGTCCATTAAAAGGATACAAATTAAGAAACACATTTGCTATCGCTCTTTTCTATTTTGAAAAGATCAAGCCACATTCCAGAAATATTAGTTTTAAATAGGTGGAAGTAATTGCTCTAAAGTTTCGCATAACTTCTAATGTTACGCTTGCCACGAAGATACGACGAATTACAGATTTCTACCGTCCTTCGTTCACTTTATTTCCCATTTTATAGAAATTCTTTCAACTTCAAAAAGTGGTAGATTAAAAATATTTATTTCAAAAATGTGTTTTACTTTGAGCATAGGAATTTTAAGGTTTACATTACGAGGGCGAGGCTGAACAACGCCTGCTATAACTGAAAGCCTCCACGTGGTTTATAATAGTTAGTCCAATCAGACCACTATGAAAGTAAACCAGTTTACGAATCAGCCCTTTAATCGTAAATCTAGTAAAGACAAGGAAGTGGCAGCAAATATATATCTCTTAAAATTTGTTTAATTTATGAATATGATTGGTTTTGCTTATTTACTTGCCAACCACCACAGATTCAATTCTCAAATATGTATGTTATGTTTCTCTTAATTACTTTTAAACTGGAATTTGGGCACGTACGCACAAACGAACGCAGTCACTAAGAGTTTACAAAGCGAATTCCACTGTTGGCACATTTAGCATATAACATCTAGACACCATTATACAAAAAGGTTACTAAACATAATATACAGAGTGGTAAATCATTTATGGTACCAAAGAGGACCCTTCGAATGCAAGAGATTGATGAAAAAACACTATTTTCGTTATAGCTCTTTTCACATCGTTGCAATATCAAAAATATGGTGTTAATAGGTTAGTATAATTTACACAAATAGAATAAAATTTTCACGAGACTAAAACACCGAAAATTACTTTATTGCTCTCTTAACTTTTGCCTGAAAGAAAACGAGGAAATTTTCTTCTTACCTTCCAGCACTAAAAAAATATTATCCTTGAAATATAATAATTTAACACATTGCTTGAATTATTTAATTCAATAACAAACTGTTTTATTGGCAAATAACGACAGCAAATACGTTTACTTTAGAACAAAACAGAATTAAGATTTACGTAAGCGAAATAGAAGTTAATATATTATATAAAAATGAATCATAATAAGCATGGATTTCATCTACTGAGGCATTACTCCTGTTCTTCCCCACGCATTATAAGGCCCAACTATTGGCCATTTGTAGAAAACTGATGAATTTCGGTACTTTTTGATTTCAGAAAGATTCTCAGTTCTTTCCTGATACACTTTAAGGGCTGATATTCTATCAAGAATTGTCTTTTGAAACAAAATAAGAGAATCAAATGTATCAAAAGCAATAAAGTCAACATAAGTTAATTCATCTCCAGCCAGGTATTTGCGGTTCCCAAGAAAATCCTCTATCATATTCAAGTCCTCCTTAGTCTTCCTCAAATGCTGCTCTTTTATATTCTCATAATTTGGGTCAATCACAAAATTGAAAAACTTTTGGCGAAAGTCTATAATCTGTTGTTCAGATAAAGAAACACGTAGTTTTTCATCTTCAGTTTTACCCGCCAAATCATACTTCTCGGCGAGATATCTCAAAATTGTGGTACTTTGGGTGAGTTTAACGTTCTCATCCATATAGTATTAGGCCTGGGCAATATACCGTAATACCGTCATTTACCGGTATTTCTTTGATACCGCGGTAATGATATTCGGAAGTATATTCTTCGGCAATACCGAGTTATTGAACTTCGGTATGCCTGCACCTCTCGGTACTCACCGCTAGCCAATATCTTCGGTCGACCGGCGGCGAGGAAGTGGCGGTATGGTATGGTATCTAGGAGGTATTGGTATGGCACGTGATTGATTTAGGGGTGAAGAACTCAAAGGCTTGCGCGTAATATTTACGGTACCTCCTCTCGGCAGCTAGAAATTTCTCCTACAATATATTGTGGTATCATTTGACTTTAAAGCGCATGCGTCATATCCGTGGTATTGGCGATATCGGATTTCAAACACCCGCGCGTTATATCAACCCTACATGGTATACTTTAATTAATTTGCGAGGCACATAATTTAAACAATTATGCTCTCCAAGAAACATCAAGCTCGACATAGAGACAACATCTGCGATTTTTTCTTCTTTATTTATTAAATGTCTTCATAATATTATGGTGGTATATTTCAAAAACAACAACTTACACTACGTTGCAAATAACTGATTGATTAAGCTCGAAACTAGTCTATTTGTTAGAAGAAAAAATTAGGGTATTTTCACATCACTTTTTCGCTCTTTTTATCATAACACATTGCAAACCTGTCGCGTAAAAATACATTTTAAAAATTTGTGCAATCCATAAAGAAGTTAAAAAAGTATTAGCAGAACTACTTCGTTTCTGCTCTTTTTTTCAAGGAAATTATCCATTCCTGATTACCACAAACATAACTGATTCAGTATAGATGCAATCAGTACTACATTCTTAATTTTCTTTTTTAAATAGAAGTTGTAGGTATAGAGCTAGGTTTGCTTTAGCTGTTATGAAATCTTGCCTACCAAGTTTTGTTTTAACTTTTAGTCTCTAGCAGTTGTAAGACATTATTCATTTGAAAAGTAAATGTAGTGAAAAGTTTAACAAGACAAGAATTTTGAAAAGTCGGTCCTTTGTAAAGTGCTAAAGAAGACATGAAGGAGCTGGAAACTAGTCTATTTGGTCGGAATGAAAAAAAAATTTATGATAAACTCACATTGCATTTTCGATTTTTCTTTTTATCTTAAAAGCCTTAAAAATTAAATTAAATTAATTAAGTTAATCAAAAAATTAAACCAGGAGGTATACCCTCAACATTTAAGATTCCTAAGAAATATTTTTAAGCTGATATTTTTTTTAAAACTTTTACGCAGACAGGTACTTTGTACAGTAGCTTAGTTTAAGTTCAAACGAGATCCTACACAAGCCGTAACAAATTTTTAAAAAAATTTTTTTTTACCTACAATTATATTTCTGTCATCTTTTTACTAACACACCACGGAGCGAGAAAAAGCTGGCAAGTGCATAGCTACCTACTCTTTCGTTTTTCCCGGTAGATTTCATTTTCCTATTTAAAGTGGTAGCGAAACTCATGTTATTTCATTAAACTTTTTGAGTCAAAATAATTATTATAAATCAGTTTGACTACCACCTAAATCGCATATTGACCTAAATTACAGCAAATATATAAAAGCAAAAAAGTCTGTAGGCAAAGTTTACGATTTTGACCATTTCGGCTGGATTCGAGTGCGAGCTTCCGAGAGTGAAGCATCGCTGTTTTCATTGAGATTGGTAAACATAGAAAAAGTGGGCGTTTACGCCAAACGAAGTTCAAAAAATTGTGTGTCATCAGTCTCAGTTTTCGGTGATAAAAATGTATAAATGGAAATGCATTAAAAGCAGTTATCTATACAATGAATTTACAAATACAGGATTTAAAAATATCTCGAAAAATATGCACCGTATCAAAAAAGATGATTATAGTCACATTCAATATTTTTAAAGCTGTGCAATGATACCAAGCTCGATCTTTCCCCCCAGCCCCTGGTGGTGGCGAGCGGGTGAATTTGAGATCTTAAGTAGTAATATTTTTATTGCAATTTCGCATTCTTCAGAAAAAGTAGCCCTTTTTGAATTATGCATTTTGCTTCACAGTTGGCGTTGTAACCAAAAAAAAAACATTCAGCGGATACAAGTTCATAATTGCAAGGAATATATAGTAAGCATTCATTTTACTACCACTTTAAATATAAAAATAAAATCTTGTGCAAGATGCTTAAAATTTGGTAGGTATGGATCTCTGAAACCACTTCCACGATTTGTTAATATTTTGCTACTTTATCCTTCTGGAATATTCCAGGTACATTTGAAAAACAAAAAAGGATAATCGTCAAGAATCATCCAGACTGAAAGCTTATATATACCAATTGAGAGAAAAAAACTTATAAGAAAATCATTTCACTCTTACACGTTTTCGGGAAAAGTAAAATAGCAATTCTAACATACGTTTACTGAACAGTTATTTACGACAAAAAAAAATAAATAATGACTTCATTACCACTAAAAACAGAACGGTTTCACTGTTTTATTTTAAGGACCTCGCGTCAGCAAGTTTACAAATCACAATCCTTTAATAAATTTGCGAGGTACATAATTTAAACAATTATGTTCTCCGAGAAAAATACATACAGAAAAAGAGAAATGTAACATCGGTGATTTTTTCTTCTTTATTTATTAAATGTCTTCATAATATTATGGTGGTAGATTTCAAAAACACCAACTTACACTTCGTTTCAAATAGCTAATTGATTAAGCTCGAAGCTAGTCTACTTGTTAAAAGAAAAAATTATGATATATTCACATCACTTTTTCGCTCTTTTTCACGTAAAAATACGTTTTTAAAATTTGTGCAATCCATAAAAAAGTTAAAAAATTATTAGCAGAACTACTTCATTTCTGTTCATTTTTTCAAAGAAATTATCCATTCGTGATTACCACAAACATAACTGATTCAGTGTATGCAATCAGTACTACATTCTTAATTTTCTTTTTTAAATTGAAGTTGTAGGTATAGAGATAGGTTTATTTCAGCTGTTATGAAATCTTGCCTACCAAGTTTTGCTTTAAATTTTAGTCTCTAGCAGTTGTAAAACATTATTCTTTTGAAAAGTAAATGTAGTTAAAAGTTTAACAAGACAAGATTTTTGAAAAGTTGGAAAAAATTTTGGTTTGGAAAATTTTTTATAAAACTTTTACGCAGATAGGTACTCTGTACAGTAGCTTAGTTTAAGTTCAAACGAGATCCTACACAAGCCCCAACAAATTTTTAAAAAAGGTTTTTTTTACCTACAATTATATTTCAGTCATCTTTTTACTAACACCCACAGAGCGAGAAAAAGCTGGCAAGTGCATAGCAACCTACTCTTCCGTTTTTCCCGGTAGATTTTATTTTCCTATTTAAAGTGATAGCGAAATTCATGTTATTTCATTAAACTTTTTGTCTTATAATAATTATTATAAATCAGTTTGACTACCACCATATCTAAATTATAACAAACATATAAAGGCCTCCAACGTCCATAAAGACTCCACACGGTTTTTTTTTAAAGTAGTCTGCTCAGATTAATTAAAAAGTGAACCAGTTGTGCGCACGAACCCAAAATCTACCTTAAAAGTACTTGAGAGAAATTTATGATATATATTTGAGAATTTAATCTGTAGTGGTTGACAAGTATGTAAGACAAACCAATCATATTCATAAATTAAANATCCGGAAGAGTTGGCATGTATGCAAATTCTATCTTAAAAGTACTTGAGAGAAATTTATGATATATATTTGAGAATTTAATCTGTAGTGGTTGACAAGTATATAAGACAAACCAATCATATTCATAAATTAAACAAGTTTTTAGACATATATTTGCTACCACTTTCTTATTTTTACTACATTTTCTAATAAATAGCTCTTTCGTAAACTGGTTTATCATCATAGTGGTCAGATCGGACTTCTGTAAGAAACCGTGTGGAAGCTTGCGGTCATTTTTCCATTCGTCTTGACCTGTGTGGTGTTGGTTGTGGAATGCAAATGAGGTAAGTTATGGTTACTTTTCTGCATACCTGCCAACTTTCACTCTTTCCGAGAATGGATTTTGAGAGTGGTTGTAAAACAATAAACGAAAAACAATCTGACTCAAAAATATATTTATATTTTGATCCCGTTTAAATTAGTTTACGCAAGGATTTTTATGCTTTGATATATTTATTGTAATTACTTATATGTAGTGGTGGTCAAACTCATTTATAATTAGCATTATAATTCAAAAAGTTAATTGGAATAACCTGAGTATTGCTGCCACCTTAAATATGAAAATAAAATCTTTCGGAAAATCCGGAAGAGTTGGCAGGTCCTAGTCCTAGTGTTTAGATTTTACTGTTCACCTGGGCCGCGAAGCGGCCCCTATCCCATTCATCTGGAATTTTTGAACAGTTTTGGTTGAGCAATGAGGTAAGCAGGCAATGGAGTTGCTTTTATGAATGTTTCAAGCTCTTTGCTTATTACACAAATGTTATTACATTATGAAATTGAGCAGCTTG